AGGACTGTTAGCGCATTTGCAGTTTTGCGGGTCTATAAGATTCCGAACCCGGGCAGGAAGCGTTGGGCAGTCCCAGAGGTCTTTTCTTAGTGAGAAACATTTTCTTTGTTAATATCTTGGATTTTACTTTTTTTTTTTTTTTTTTTTGGTTCATCAAGCCGATTAGGGTTACTTTCACTTTTGAGAACAGGGAGGGTCCTCAAAAATGGAACATCAGGAAAGTCATCAGACTTGCTTTAACCTGCCTTCCTTGCTTCAACTAATTTGGGTTAACTTTCTCCCATTTATCCACACGGCGCCTTTAAAACTTGCACCATACTTGTCCGCCCCGCCTTAATGAGTTCCTTTGGTGACCCCAGCTTCACCTTGCAGATATCTTCTCCAGGTATCCAATACCCATACTCCCACTCGGCCATAGCAAGGGGTTGGGGTTGGCTTTTTTTCCGGCAACTGCTCACAGCTTCCATCAAGCCGGGGTTTCCACTTCCCGCTAGGAAGCGTCGGGGACGTCCGGGCACTGCGCACCTCGGCAGCGCCGGTTACCAAGCGCCTCCTCCCCCCTGTCTGTGGGACAACGCTCTGGTAAGCACCCGAGGCAAGAGGTCCTAGCAAGGTACTGGGACAGCGTTTGGTCATAGAGAGTGAGCGAGCCAGCGAGAGATATTCCTGGGTGGAGGGGTGGGGACGCCTTAGGACTAGTGTCCCCCACTCCCGGACCCTTTCCACCGAGAGCTACCTACAGAGGGCTGCATCGCCTCTCCTCTCCTCTTCAGTCATCCTAGGGACTAGAGAAATGGAGGAGAGAAGAGCGGGGAAACAGCACCCCCGGGCCAATCACGACGTCCGCCCCTCCTTAGTTGGGGTCTCTGTCTCTCTCACACTCACACACACACACAAACACACACACGAGCTCCTAAGTCAACTCCAGCTCCGAGTAACTACGCCGCACGCCTCTCCCACTGGGAGTCCCCCGGCCCGTGTGGCTCGCCTCACCCCAGCTTCTTCACCCCAACTCCGGTTTCCCTTCCCAACTGACCGTGAAGCCGGAGGCAGTTCCCCAGTCCCAGACCCCGGTGGGGCTCCCGCCGCGGCCGCCGGGGCCTTCCCCTGCAGTCCCCAACCCGGGACCCGGCCTCGGGCTACGGCGATGGCTCCTTGGAACGAGGCGCCGCGGTTCTCTGGACTCGGCCAGACACCGGGCGGCGCGCAGGAGAAGCCCATCGAGCTCCCGGCAGTGGCGGCGGCCGCGGCTGCAGGAGCGGCCGCCGCACAGGTTGATGACGCGCTGACGCGGTGGGTGGGACGTGGGGGTGCGGTCCAGAGGAGGCGACGCGCGCAGATGACGTGCGGCTCGTGGGGCTGTTCGGCAGCATGGCGTCCGTGGCGCTGAGCGAGGCGGAGAAGGTGTACATCGTGCACGGCGTCCAGGTAGCGACAGCAGCGGCGTTGGGTCGGCCGCCGGGTTCAGCCTGGCCCTGCGGGTCGCGGCCTGCCCTGGGTTTGCCAGGGAGGAGGCAGCCGAGCTGCGGCGACTGTCCGTTTACCTTGTGATTAAACGGCTCTGCTGCCGGCGTTTGCAGTTCAGAGCTGGCAACGCAGACGTTTTTAGGACTGTTAGCGCATTTGCAGTTTTGCGGGTCTATAAGATTCCGAACCCGGGCAGGAAGCGTTGGGCAGTCCCAGAGGCCTTTTCTTAGTGAGAGAGCATCGCCCCCAGGGCCATCCATTCGGCATTCGCGCACATAACTGGTCCGAGCCTCAGTTTTATCTTCGAGGAAATGGGAGTTTGGAGTTGGGCTTCTGGCCTGCTTTTCCTCACCTCGTGGTTAGGAGGGGCATGCTAGGTGAACGCACTTTGTAAATACAAATTGCGGTACAAATAAAGGGGGAAGAGTTTTTAAAAAGCGGCTAGGCAGCCGATAGCGTAAGTGCTGTTTCCATTTTGCCAATGGAGAACTAAGATCCCTAGGCAGCTGTAACCTAATGTCCTCTGTGTTCTATGTTAAACCCCTGGTTTTGACCACTTGAGAACGAGGGTTGAAACATGTGGGACCTGGAAACGAGCTACCCCGTATCCTCCTCTGGCTCTGTCTCCACTTGTTAACCCACGGTGTGGTCCTCCTATCAGAGTTCTTCATCCCATCCTTGGCAGAGTTCTGGCGACAGCCCCTACCTCTTTTCCTCATGCCTTTCTTCTGTCAGTACCAACTGCAAAATCAGTGGTCCCGTGATATAGCCATCAGATTGAAGCAACCAGCTATCACTAAAGTTCCACAACGTGAGTTAAGGACATTTCCATTTATAAAAATCGTGACCTACTGTTATCTTCCGGGCCCTTTATATATGAAGAAATGCCAGTATTTAGCTTATTAAGCCTGGATAATAAAGTCAGAACTCACAGTTGCGTATTTTAGTTATAATTCAGGATTAGCAATAGTGGGACATATGTGTGTATTACTCGGTAACGTGTTATTTGTGTGTGAGGGGTCATAAAAATGCCCAAAAGCAATTAGATCTATCTTTCCCTGCTATATTTTTGTATACACTTTGTTCAGGCGATTTTTATCCTCAAAGTATGATTTTTAGGCACACATTAAGGATAACCATTTTCCTCTAAATTTAAAAACCTTTGGTTTTCTTTCTTTGTTACCGCAGCTTAGCGTGATGTACTGACTCTGTCATGTGTCGTATTTTCTCTCACATTTCATCTCTGAAAGTGGCACTGAGGCATGGACATATCTGTAACTTCAAGGTTAGAGATTTCTCCCCAGCATCCTTAATTCCCATGGCGGTTCGTTAGCTATCCAGCAGCAGAGTCCCACCATAGTCATAAATCCTTTATTACTTTATAATGAGTAATAAAATCATTTATATTTATAACACACCTGTTATCTGCTGGGTGCTATGGGGGAAGAAAAGACTATAAGCCTCAGTTCTGATCCTTGAGATGCCTAGGATCTAATTTGGGCAAAGTTAATTAATTTTATTTACCAACATATATCTAGCCACTGGCATGTTATGTGGGAAGCAGTAGGGATGCTAAAACATGGTTGTGAAATAAATGAAAGATAGGAGGGAGACAAACAGAGAGTAAAAGTGAATAAAATAAAGACAAAGGTAATAAGATCTATGCCGAGGAAGTGGTATAGTTAGTGGAGGTTGAAGAAGTTAAAGTATACCAGGGGCCCGGCATGGTGGCTCACGCCTCTAATCCCAGCACTTTGGAAGGCTGAGATGGGAGGGTCGCTTGAGCCTAGGAGTTTGAGACCAGCTTGGGCAACACAGTGAGAGCCCATCTCTAAAGAAATATGTATATTTTTTTAATAAATAAAAAGAATTCCAGGGACTTGTAATGCTCTGGAGGCTTCCCTAAGTAGGTGGAATTGTTCCCCTAAATCCATGTCAGGGATTCCTCCTCTGTATCTTCAGGACTCAGTGTTCATTCATTCAACACAGAACTGAGCTAGACTCGGGCTAGGAAGAAACCTGTTGTTATATAGCTCTCAGGCTAGAAGGAAGATGCAGAAATTGTAAATGTACTTGAGTGTTTATATATAAAATTGTACTAGTGCTATGAAGGAAAAAACAGGGACACGATCTAGACTGGGAGGTCAGAGGAGTCTTCCCTAAGGAAATAGCACGTGAACTGAGCTCTCAGCATGACTGAGAATTAAGCAGGCGTGAGTGTTCCAGAAGGAAGGGATGGTGAGTCTGTAAATCCTCAGGTGGAGGACGTGTGGAGCCCAGTGGGTGGGCTGGGGGAAATGGTGGAAGATCAGCTTGCACAGGTGGCCAGAAGCATGATCCTAGAGGTCTTAGAGGCTCAGTCATTCCCTCCTCATGGACCTTGGAAGGAATAGCCTGTTGACTTGTCTGTATGGGGGACCCTTAAGGCATGGCCAGTGTCTGGCACTTGGTAGGTTCTTAGTAGCATTGAATGAGTAAGGTAAGCTTTAAAGGAGGAATTAGTTGGATGGTGTTTTTGTTTTTTAAATCAAGCCTCCCTCTCACCAGTACCATGGACATACTTCGCCACAGTTGTTGGTAAATGCTCAACTCTGTGTATCACAGAGCCATGCAGAGTAATGGGCTTCAAATCAATGTCTTCATAAGGGCTTATTAATGTTGGCCAAAAATATGCCATATTTATAGAGGAGTAAAACACAATTTACACCATTCAAATAAAGGCAGGATGCAGGTGAATGAGCCTACCATGAATCTCCACTGATTCAGTTCTGAAATCTCCTATACTTTTCTTGCGTTGGTTATAGAGTGCCAGCAGTGCACCTTAAGCAGTGCCTGCCTGGACTCCTGTTGCTTGTATAGTCCTAGTCATTTTGTGTTTTACTTTTCACCTTTGGTCCAGTAAGGTCCGTTTCAGCTTCTGATGTCACTTTCCCTTCAGCCTTTGGTTCTTTTGCTATTTCAGGGAATATTTCATCTTGTTTTGGTGATAGTTAGAAGCAGTTGAAATTAACCTCATGATGTTGTGTTGAGGATTCAGTTGCTAGTAATGGTAACCAACACACTGGCTCAAGAAAAATAGTATGGATTACAAGTCTGCAAGTGTTTCTCCAGGAATCCAAGGGCACTTGGATGAGCAAGGCTCTCCCTTGCTCATCTCTGCTGCTTTTTTTTTTTTCCCCCCCTCTTTGCTTTGTTTTTGTCTCCCTGCAGATTAGTTTTCTATTTCTTGGGCCAGTGGTAGAAAAAATGTGGTTCCTTCCCAGCTCCTCTGTAAAAGAGACCATTCCTTCTCGTTCAGTTCCGAACCCATGTTTCCAAGAGAAAGAAACTCTAGTTCTTTTTGGGGGTTGAGGGAAAGGATGGACAGAATAATTAGGCTCAAACATGGCCACTAGAGGATGTGTCATACTTGGGAGAAGTCAGTTTGTGAGAAGGGAGGATGGATCATTTTAGTTTTTGGCAGAAAATGGAACCCACTTCAGATAGTTCAGGAGACTTTTATGATGGGACTCTAGAGCAGTATGGATGGGTTTCAGGGAACCAATAAGAGATGTTGAGGAGCCCCAAGACAAACAACTGCTGGGAGTGGCTACTGCCCCTAGTCTAAAGGGGCCAGGGGAGGAAACAGTATTACCACATTTCAGTGATAGCTGGAACTGTGGAGGAAGGGCTGCCCAACATAAGTCATAGTCTTGGATAGATGCAGGCAATATCAGAAATGTGGCCTCTAGATTGGGGGTGAGGGGCACCCTCTGATCTGGTATCTTCCATTGGACAAACCCAACCAGAAGCCAGCAAAGGGAGTCTAGGTGATACAATTTGAGTCAACCTGGTGAACAGATCCGCACTCCCAGGGAAGAGCAGATAATCAAAAAGTTTGATTAAATCAATATTTTGATAAATAATTTGATTGGTTTCTGTTAGGTTCTCTTTCAGCCTTTGAAGGCTATATCCCATTCTTGTTAGGTACATATTATAATTTTTATTTCATTGCATATTTACAACAGTTCTGAAGGTAAAGTATCTCTACAGACGAGGAACTGAGCTTGGGCGGGTTGAGTCACTTGTCCAAGGTGACACAGTAATTGAGTGGTGGCACTGGGATTTAAATCCAGATCTGTCTGATTGCAAAGCGCATACTTGACTCTGAGGCCACCTTCCTGCTGCAGTGAAAGTCATTGTCTTCCATTTCCTCAGCAGGGATCCAGACATCAAGGCAGGAGAGAATCTTTGCTTCCTCTACCTCCTTTTCTTTCTCCTTTTCTCTGAAAGTTTGTGGGGAAACAGGAAGGGAAAGAGAAAGTTCTTTTTTTTTTTTTTTTTTAAGTTCTAGGGTACATGTGCACAACGTGGAGGTTTGTTACATATGTATACATGTGCCATGTTGGTGTGCTGCACACATTAACTCGTCATTTACATTAGGTATATCTTCTAATGCTATCCTTCCCCCCTCCCCACAATAGGCCCTGGTGTGTGATGCGGGAAAGAGAAAGTTCTAATTGACACCTCCCACTCCTCAATTTTTCTAGAGCTTAAATAGTATATGGCATATACTGCTGTATTGTTGTTTTGGTTGCATTTTTCCCACATTGATTATAAGTTCCTTTAGAATCCTATATTGCATTTCTTTATATAGCTTTTGTCTCACTAGTATTGTAAATTATTTTCTCTGTCCATACTATGCAGAACTTGGAGCAGACTTCAGAATTTTTAGAATCTAGGATTTACCCTCTTTTCTGGCTTAACTGGCTAGATGTGTGTTTTCTTCATCTATGAGAAGCCATTGCTAACCTCCCTCTTAGCCCAGGAATT